GACCACTAGGAAAATCAATGCAGTGGATCAAAAAAAGCTCTCAGTGGGAAGATGGCTGAACAGCACGGTGGACAGCATAATACTGGTGAAGGTGGCAGTCAGGTAAGCTGTAGCAAGATGTGATGTGATCACTCGGAAACATCTGTTATTTCTAAAACTCAAGGAAGGTGAGCAATACAATGGAGGTGTGAGAACAGATACAGCACAACAGAAGAGTAACAATGCAGAAGCAGAAATCTCATCTTTCCTACTTCACTGTTTTGGGCAGCATCGCTGTTAGTTGAATGGGATGGATTATACAACTTCATTGATAGACTGGAGTGAACAAGTCAGTCCCCCGCAGAAAAAAACATGCCTTATTGAGAACTTCTGTAAGATGCCCAAACTACTCCATCAATCACTCTAGCTTTCAACTAGAGTAACTGTGGAATTAAAATATGCAGAAAATATATTAATCCTTTGAAAAAATTGTCATGAGATGGTGAATGAACAGAAGTAGTTTAGTTAGAGCCTGCAAAGAACTGGAAAGATAACGTTTATATAGCCTAAGCTCATGAACAAGGAGTAAGTACAAAAGAAAATGCAGCCCACCTTAGAAGACAAGTCATTCTCATTTCAGGTCATCTTAACTTCAGCCAACAGTGAGAAGTGTCACAGATTCACAGAATGTTAGGGGTTGGAAGGGACCTCAAAACATCATCTAGTCCAACCCCCTGCCAGAGCAGGATCACCTAGAGTACATCACACAGGAACACGTCCAGGCGGGCCTTGAAAGTCTCCAGAGGTGGCGACTCCACCACCCCCCTGGGCAGCCCCTTCCAGTGCTTGGTTACTCTCATTGTAAAGAAGTTCTGTCTTATCTTCAGGTTGAACCTCCTCTTCAGCAGCTTGTGGCCATTGCCCCTAGTCCTGTCACCAGACACCACTGAGGAGAGCCTGGCCCCATCTTCCTGACACCAACCCTTTAGATATTTATAAGCATTAATAAGATCCCCCCTCAGCCTCCTCTTCTCCAAGCTAAACATCCCCAGCTCCCTGAGCCTTTCCTCGCATGTCAGGTGTTCCAGGCGCTGGATCATCTTAATAGCCCTGCACTGGACTCTCTCCAAAAGTTCTTTGTCCTTCTTGAACTGAGGAGCCCAGAACTGCACACAGTATTCCAGGTGGGGCCTCACCAGGGCAGAGCAGAGGAGGAGGATGACTTCCCTCCACCTGTTGACCATCGACCTGTGTCAGATGTGACCCGAAGAATTGGCAAGGAAACAAACATTAGAGGAATCCTATTCTCTAAAGTGGTGTTGGCCTATTCTTACACTAGACACTCTTTGAATTACAGCAGTGTATTTCTAATGTATATAGTTGAGAGTTTGAGTATCACACAGAGTCAATCAAAGTAAGACAACTGGGGAAACACAGAGACAGAAACCCCTTACCTCAAAGGGAAGAACCAGAACAAAGATGTAGGGAGAGCCTAGCTATTTATCTTCTACTGGTTTCATCTAACAAATGACACTACTTCCCATGCAAGCCTTGCCTCATTTGCATCCTTACGTGAGCACGCTTACAACACTCCTGCTTTTAGAAAGGGAGTTATAGTGACTCACTGGTTGCTCTCAAACAAGCAGATGTGGGGTTCATCTCACCTGCCCGCCTCTCACCACACCACCTAAGGTCGGGTTACCTAAACTTCTGCTACTGGCTGGGCAGGAAGACAGCAAATTCCAATGTATAACCACATCTTGCCTTTAGTTTTCTTCCCTTAAAAAAAACCCAACACACACCCCCAAAACACTTTTTAGCTGACTATGCCAATGGTCAAGTAATTAAGAAAAACAGGGGAAGTCAACATACCTCTGAGTGTCACAAAAGGTGTATAGCAAATATGGTGAGTAGCTTAATGACAGCAAATTGAACACCTAAAATATTTAAATACGTTTTCATTTTTAAAAGTTTGTAAAACCATTTCCTTTTGAGATTGATTCTTCTTGTATCTATTTATACAGTCTGTTTTCTACTGGAGCATCAGAAAGACACACATGAAATAAGGGTGAGCAAAGAGAAATAGATAACAAAAGGAAAAAAAGTTTATTTTAAAAAGATGCAGAAAAGCTTTACCACAAAAATAAGTACATTACAGTGCATTTACCTTCTTACAGATCTATGCACATCCACGAAATCACAATCTGAAAGACGAATCTCACATTCATACTTTACTGAATACCTGTTCTGGTTTAATATAAAATTTTCAGTTATCAACACACTGTCTATAGCTTAATTCACAGTGTCTGCATAACATGTATTGGAAACACAATTCCTCCTTGTGCCCGTGGGATGGAGTTTCATTGAAGATCAATGGTCCCTTCTATGAAAGGGAGGCACCCTCCATACAGAAGCTTTTGGGTGTTCCCTCCTCCTTCACATGGGAGGCTCTTCTCTACTCAAGACATTACTCAGATACTATCATTATCACTCTCTCTCTGGTAACATTTCCCTAGTGTTTCACAATGATCAAATGTTACCCACAAGCACAAGTAAAACATTTTAGTTTTTTTAGAGTTGTTTCACTAATTTCTGAGCACACTTACTATCACCCTTCATGTTTCTTACTGTCATTAATGTATTTAAACTTTTCCATTTCCCCCACTGATGCTTTTTAAAACTGTAAATGATCAGTGACATCATCCAGTAAGTGAATCAGTCCCAGGAAGAGTTAGGCATAATAAAAACTGTATTACTTGAGAAATGGCACATTCATAGTTATGCCAGTTATAGATTAAATTTGTGGCAGCTTGTGCAGAAAGTTTTTCAATAATTGTTTTTCTCATAAGAAGCCCAACCACCAGTGATGGGAAGCAGTAATATGGAGTATATTTCTCTATTTTCTAACTATATGTTCCCACATATTAATGAAAAATATCCCTTTTTTATCAAAAGGTAAATAAACTTTTAGATACACTGTAAATTTGTCTTACGAACAAGACTGTAACAAGGTTCTATTATGTTATTCATGAGTATGCAATGTTCCACAAAAGAAAAATATTTTGAATAGATCCTCACAATCCTGTTCCAAATGCATGTTTGTAGATGTTACAGGAAACAAAAAAGAAATAAACCAGAATCAACAAAATATTATTAAAAATATATATATGTGTGTGTGTACATATATATAAAAATAACATTTCCCTGGAATGATAATCAGTATTTTTAAAAAGTTATTATAAACTCCAATGTTTGGGGAAAAATCCCAACCTTAACTTTGAGAAGTATTACCTTAATTCTACCTATTTATAGATAACCTGTGTGGCACTATTTTATCTGACCTTGACATTTAATGCAGAGTTTGAAAAATATAAATTGCAATGCTATGTATATTGTATGTTACATATCAAAGGCTAAAAATTCCAGTAAAAGAAAATAGAGTTTATTTATGGCATTTATTTCACATTACCTTTCTGTGTTTCATGTAAATACGTTTAATGAAATTACAGAATGTCAGACCTCAGGGTAACTACATCTCTACACAAACAAGATTATATTGACAGAGGCTGTGTTTTAAACACTGCCCTTCAAGGTTTTGGAAACAGTATTCTCATATTGCACAGTTTTAATATTTATACCACGTCTAACACTACAAAATACTCTTAGCCATAAAATCAAAAGATTTTTAGGCTTCAGTGATGCTTGAAAAAAAGAAATTAACCCAGTGCATTAGGCAGGGAGTAGTTTTAGAAGTGGCTGACATAAATGAGATGTCTCCTCTCACACACTGTGTTGCCTGTTGTCCCAGGTATACATTACTTAATACTGCTAACAGATGCAAGGAGACACTTCTTTTTTGGGGGATGTGTTATTGGGTTTGTGTTTTGGTTTTTTGGGTTGGTTTGTTTTTTTTGTTTTTTTTTTTTTCCCTTCTCTCCACAAAAAAACATACCTATTAGTTATTCTCATTGAAGGGATACTTTCTCAAGATTTCACTTGCAGAACCTGCCTGAGAGTGTCTCTGATGTAGTCTAGGTGAGAACACGCACATTAAGCACTGTCCCTCCCAGAGACGGACTGGAATGTCACTTTGGTCATAAGTGAGGGGAAAGAAAATTAAAAAACCAGAAAGAAAAATAAGGCAGGGTGGGAGGGGAGCGAGAGCGAGCAAGCACAGTGGTGCCTGTTAAGCCCTTCACAGGTTTCTCTCTTATGTGTGGATACACACATGTGTTACCTCACACTTTGGCATAGTCTGCTGGAGAAGTTCTCAGGCCTGAGCTGTTTCTAAAGGCTGTATTACCTCTAAATGTAATTTCTTCACCTACGTACTTAAAAAAAAAAAAGCCATAAGATTTACATCACTTTCACACAAGAGTAGGCAAACAGGACAAATTTAGCACCTCAGAAAAGATCAAAAATTCATTATGGAGTTTTGACTTGGCAACAGCATGATCTAATTTTGACTAGGGAAGCACTTCAAAACAGTTGGTGCTATGCAGGCAAAAACATGGTTACTGGGACACAACTGCTAGAACCAAGTCTGAAATTTCCATGGTAATGGACTTCATGACTAATTTCAAATGCCATTTTCATCTTAGAAGAGGTGTGCTTTGTTGGGTTTTTAATTAAATATTTTTAAATAAGTCTCAAAATAAAAATCACAGTAAGTATCTGGAATTAGCAGGGACTACTGCAAGCTAGTAATTTTTGTGTTTTCCTTTCCCAAATGCCACTAAAGTTTACAGTCACTTCCTGTAATATTGAAGATGTCAAGAAAAATCTTGTATTTTTGTTTCAAAGGCTTTTGACACGTATAAAACCCCATGTACTCCTCCCAGCTTTAAGTGCAAAAGAGATGTCCATAAATTTGCATGAATCCAAAACGAAATTAAAACATCACTCTAAATTGAGGTAGCACATTTAACCAAGTTTCTCTCCAAGAACTTCAGAAAGAAACTGAAGGATTTTAAGAGTAACGTCTCTACCAGCAGCCATTACAACTTTTAGTGACTGACATGTTATTTCCTTGCCATTTGAGCATTTTAGGAGCTTGGAAGTTCTTCTTTAGCTCTTCCTTTTTTTCCCCAAAAATAATGTTTAGTCCATGCACCCTTAGGTCCTGTGGCGTCTACTGCAATATCAATAATGGAATCTGGAGTCATCCACCTCAGAAACGCCAAAAAAAGGAAGTTTAGAACTGCAAAAAGAGCAAAAATATACCCAGTCACTGGGCCACAGTGAGACATCAGTCTGTTAAGTCGCTCATTCATTGGCAAAACCACTTCATCTGCAACCCTGTCATACACCTGAACAGAGAAGAGACAGAAAAGTAAGATCTTAACATTATGTTGCTTCTACCTCAAAAATCAGCCAGTACTTTGTTGTCAGCATGCAAAATAAATCATCTATTCCTAACTACTAGATGGGACAAATATTACCACAAAAAAAGCTTTGCAGATTTGAAGTGCTGATTTATGAGTACTGTTCTGGAAATTTCATTCATCTGTTTAAGGAGAAAAGGGAACAGAAGTGTTCTATTTTTTTGACAGACCTCAAGGGTATTTAATTAAATCAGAAGGCTGCATAATTTGTCTCTCGAGTAATACTATAGAGAGAAGGTTGGGCTTTTTAATTAATCAAATGGGTTCTAATCTCATATTCACACCAGTCATAGGAAAAGAGTCTGAACATGCAATTATTAGGTTTTCAACACAAAGATGAGTGAACTCTGATGACCTGGCAGTCTTCCAAGTTTCTGTATTTGAACAATCAAGTAAACTATAATAGGCTCTTGACTTCTATTTAAAGGAACATTAGTAATCCTTAGTGAAATTCTTAAAATTCCATGAGAAAAGCAAATACACACTACTAGTGACTTAATACACATACTAACCACAACCACTAAAAAAAAAAAAAAATTAAAACATAGTACCATGTTTCATAGAACAGAAACATAAATACCCACTACACACCACTCAGTAAAGGCTTAAAGGACAGAGTTTCTTCCTTGAGAACATTACAGACTTCATCCTACAGCTAACTTAGCTATGAGCTTAGTAACAACTGCCTTTTGTACCATGCATACATCTTCCAATTACACTAACGTTTCCCTTCACAGAGGTTTCTGTGTTATTAACTTAATAACAAAGTTTCCTACTACGGAAAGTGAAATCTAGACTGATTTCTTTAGGAAATTTGCAATAGAAATGTTGCTTCCAGTTACAAAATCACAAAATTATCTGTACTAATGGTACTTGAAAATGATAAAGTGGTTGTATTTGATACTTCAAGGAGACCTACAAGAGCTACTTTCTTACTGCAGTGTAACCAAGAGGCACCTGATTCAGCTGCTCTCTTGCCTAAGACACAGGGGCTGGAGTCAGAAGCAACAGATCTCCACTGGCTTTTAGAACATAACTGCAGTTAACAATCTTCACTAACAGCAGAGTTTTTTTGCTGAAGTGCAGTTCTAATTCTGAAATACCATTTTGATAGTTTATTTTCATTACATCCATAGCTTATGTAAATTCAGCTATGTTCAGCCTACTGGCATTAAAATGCCTCTCATCATTTTAAACCACTTGTCAGCATGTGGCAGACAAAATTTTGTCATGAGCTCTGTCTTTTCATCTTTGTACATCTTATATAGCCTGTTTTTCAGTTACGTCACGAAAGTTCTTTAATGGGAAGACTGGAAAAAACAGGAGTAGAAATACAACTCAAGAACTAGGCTATTCTTCAGAATATTTATCAGTACTTATGGCACAGAAAAAAAAATGCAAACAGAAAAAAACACCTATCTAGGTATGTAACTCTTTTGGAAAAAAAATAGTATTCTGAACTTTTCTAAACCATGTGTGTTTGAGAGAAAACACCAAAAAATGACACCGTATGATTATCTGGAGAATGCACATAGTAATGTCTCAAAGCAGCTGTTTCAGAAATGTACTTTAAGAGGATTTAAGATGTGGTTATACATACTTTCTCAGTTCTCTCTGCTACATTCCTCCACGTATAAAATGTCTTTACTTTACTATGAACAGTTTCTGGAGATGGCAGTACTCCCGATCTGAGCTGGGCAATAGCTTTTTCTAATCCATCACACAAAGATTTCACTGAGGGTTCACATAAAATAATGAGATTTTCTGGGAGCACCTCAGGAATCCCACCAACTCTTGTACTCACCACCTGTGAAAGAGGCAAAAGAAATAGCACATTTGATGCATAACAATAAAATTGAGTGATGACACTACTATTGCACTGGTTTGATGCAGCACTTAAGAAAAACAGAAAAAAAATAGAATGAGTGGTTGCCACAGGACAAAGACTTTGGTAACAGGATAAAACAGAAGACTTGGTCTAATGACTGGTTTATGAAACCTCTTTCCTAAAGGAATTTGTCACAGTACATAACCGGATCTGTGTAACCAGATTTTGGGCTTTCCCTCCATAGTCTCTCATGAACAGTTACCTCTACTTGAAGAGGACATTTTTACCACATCCACCTTCAGTTTATGCTTTCTAGGCTACTGAACATTTACAAGAATTTCTTTAGAAGTTCAGTAATTTTAATCTGAATTATTTTCAAAGGGAAATCAGAAACTGCTAAGACTCACATTATGCAATCACCTCTAAACAGGAGGCAGCAGTATGAAAGCTGCAGAACTTCAACTCTAGAGGAGAAAACAGATGACAGAGTAGTAACTACCACAACTAGGCAGTAACTACTATCTACTCAGAGGATAGTGGAGTAAAAAAAAAAAAAAAAATGTCCCTTGAATTTTCTATACTTCTTATGTATTAGATACTCTTATCAGTCTGTCTTGAAAAATGAAAGTCTATCTTTTAATGTGAGAATTGAAGTTCTATACAGCTGTTGATCTAAATTTTTTGGAGTTACCCATCTGACTTGTAAATTAGCCAGAACAGGCTTTTACTGTTTTATCTCTCTCTCCAACTCTTACCTTGAATCTCTACATGTTAAGGCAAATACATACTCAGTTAACATAAGAAAAAAAGTTCTTGTTGCAGGAAGAAAACAGTTCTAGTACAATGGTTTAGTCTGCTAATTCAATATGCCTGACTGACCAGTCACCCATGCTATGAGACATTTTTCTGCAGCTTCTCCTCAAAGTGTCAAAGTAAACCTTCACAAACATAACTACCCCAAAACTCTGTCAAGGAGTACATACAAAACAGTATTTTATAAAGGCATTGAATGCTAGCAGATCTACATGTTAGTCACAACTCTACACAAGTTTCTTTTGGGAGCTTAAGCAGTTTCTCTCTCAGCTTCACAGGGATCTGTAAACGGGGATAATATTTGCTCACCTTTGTGAAGACAGAGCCCTAGAGGAAATCAAGTCTTATGAGCATATATTATTTAGTCACAAATTTGTTTAAAATGGATACAAGCATTCTAGATAGTTGAGAATTCTTTTTTTTCACCTGTAAACCACAGCTTGCTGCTTCCACAATTGCCATACAAAAGGCCTCAGTGAGAGAAGTGTTGAGAAAAATGTGCCCCTGGACTAGAACATTTCTAACATCCTGGTGTTCCAAAGCTCCTAGGAGACGTACCCTGCATATTAAAAAAAAAAATAAAATAAAATAAAGAGAGAGAAAGACTAGATTTGGGACTGTAATATTGTACAGTTGCTATATAAGTGTGAACCATTGGTACATTTTTCAGAATATATGTAAGAGAAGGAACGCAGACACCTTTGTTCTGTTTTCTCTAAAATTTTCCAGCAATGAAAAAACTGACTCTGCTTCTTATTTTCACACTAAAATAAAGTTCTGGAAATAAGGTTAGGGTGAAAAGTTGCTCTTTTTAATAGCAACTGCCCTGAAAACATTGCTACTAAGCTTTCTAGATCTGTAAGAGGACATGGCTTCATGCAGTTAAGAGCTGTCATCCTTTCTTTGTTTAGATGTATTATCTGAATTTTCAGCATGAAGCCTGATCAGCCTCAATCTGAGGGTGGAAGAAAAGTAGGATACAGTGATCAGGGCCTATTATTTTGAAGAGACAGCAGAAAACAGAAAAAGACAATCTAAGAATGGTACTAACAAGCAATTTTATCAGAGGAATCACTGACTAAAGTACAGAACAGGAAAAACAGAGGAAAAGAAATGGAAAATTAAGAACCTTGTCCTTGCCACATGAAACTGTCTTTGAACAACAACTCCAAAGAAATACACAATGGAATACACCATCACAGAAAAATTTTGGTAACAAGGTAGCACCAGGAAACACGTTTGTAGTACCACAAGAGCACATACTGAGTAAGTACTACCCTGAAGAGTTCCATAATGAAATAATAAATTACTGGCAGTCACCTTCATAAGTAGCAGTGACACCAACTACATGTCTAACACATTATCCCATAGGGTAATATGGGATCCGAGCATTAGAGTTTCAGAGAGGACTACACTTACGACTAAGTAAGCTCTTCTCTGGCTCAAGTGAAGGTTCATACAGGGTCTACTTCTATGAATTAACTTGCAGGATCATAGTCCCAACTCTGTAGGTCTTCAGTTAGTGTCTGGTCTATTTGCCTTGCCTTCAAAAGTTCTCATCTTCTCGAGTCAATTTCTGGGTTGGTTTTTTTGGGTTGTTTTTTGTTGTTGTTTTTTTTTGGGAGGAGGACAGACAAAAGGAGTGTTGCTTTTGTAGTCCCAACCCCTAAAATACATCAAAGGGTCATAGAGGCGCACAGAACAAACCTGTCATGCAGCTGGTATCTTTCCCGGACTTCTTCCAGTACGATTCGTTTTGGTCCTTCTCCTCCAACCAAGAAATGTAACTCCGGGTACTTCTGACAGAGCTCAGGAATTATACCACTAAGCAAATCTATACCTAAGAACAGAAAATTTAGGGCAAGACATTATTGTATTTGATTTTAGAACTTCTCATGATGTAGCCTACAGCTATAACGCTATTCAAGAGAAAAAGTATATAAGTGTTTTGAAGATAGTTATGCTGCTGAACACAAAATTTTGAAAAAAAAGACAACTTGTGATCTAGTAGGAGACAAACATTAAAATAAAAATAAATCACTGAAATTGCTGTTGCTTGGTTAAATAAATCAAAGAGTTAAAACATTTCTAATGGAATGTATAGATTAGGGCCTAAATCATATCCTAAGTATAAGCCAACCCTTGCATTTTACAAATTTAAACTTTCAATACCTTAAATATGACAAAAGAAACATACCTCGTAACACCTCTGAGCCCAACATGCGCAAACTGAAACGTACATTTCCTCTTCTTGACCACACCAACACAAAAGCCAAGAACTACCACCTTATGCAAGTCCCGTTTAAAATCCAATCCACACCACAGATACAGCACAAGCGCCACCTAATCAAAACCTTTCTTATCAAACCCTAGAGAAAAAATAACCAAAATAAACTTACATTTTATGCCCCATTACCTTTTCTGTAAACAAGTCTGCTGACAACAACAATTGTTATCGTACTGTCATCCCTCCTTGACGGGTCTGGAGTGAAGTCGGTGGGATCGACGGCGTTGGGGATGACGGAGACTATCCGAGGGTCCAGAGCGGCCCGCAGCACCGTGTTTTCCTTGCTTGTGTAGGAGACACAGATGATGTGGTTGGTATCGCACAGTGACACCGTCAGAAGTTTGTTGGTGAGCACCGAGCTGACGTCTGCAAACCCGAAGAGGGAGTGGTCCGTGAAGACCGTCCGCAGCCCCATGGTCTTGGCGTGGAAGAGGGCGTCGTGGGCCATGGCCGAGAAGGAGCTGTGGGCGTGGACGATGGTGACCCTCTCCCGCACAAATATGTACCTGAGCAAGGGCAGGCTGTGGAAGAGCGCAAGGGCAGGCTGTGAAAGATCGTCGTCGCCGTGGACTGGTTATACATTACCTTCAGGGGCAGGTAGTAGACCTTCAGCCCGTTGGTGAGGTAGCGGACGCCCTTCCGCTGGCCGTAGGCGTGGGTGACCACCAGGACCTTGTGGCCGCGCTCGATGAGGCACTGCGACAGCTGGTACACGTGGCTCTCCACGCCCCCCATGTTGGGGTAGAAGAAGTCCGACACCATGCAGACGCTGTGCGCCGGCCCCGCCGGGCCCTCGGCTGCC